GGCTAATACTATTAGCACACTATTTGCTACCAGTATACAAATTTTTGAAGCAAATCATTTAAATGTAGTGTCAGAATTGCAAAAATAAGAATAAACTATGAATTTCACCTAGATTTTGATCTAGGGATTTTGGTGTCCAAATTTTGAGGTTAAGTAGCCTTCGAGGTCCCCTTCTTTCATAGGCTTTCATTATTTTAAAGTGCCCGATAAACTATAAAATGCGCATGCGTCCAGGTGTTGATAAACTATAAATAGCGAAAATCCAGGGTTTGTCACCACAAGGTAAGCCAGGACGTGTTGAGAGAACAGCTAGTGTTGATATTGAATTTACATGTAGCCAGATAAGTTTCCTTATTGAAATTACATATGGTTATTAGCAATACTTTGTAGGTGCTAAACAATAAAATATTTAGAGTATATATGAGAGAAATTGGTCATTTCGAACCCGTTGAAAAGTTTGTGGCTCTCGGCTACACCGGGGAATTTACTTCCATGAGTACACACATAAATGTTGGGTTCCCCAAGAGGTACGCGACAAGGTGACCTGGCATCAAATGTGCGACTAAATGCTACTATCGAGAAGATAAAATAACGAATACGACAATAAGTTATTGCATGTGACAATTCCGAGCCTTCATCTCACTGAAGTATTTTGAAGTGAAAATAGGATTTTTGTTTTGATACATGGATTCAGATGAACGTAACTTTATTCTGACAACTAATCAAAACTGAACACAATTGATTGTACGTAACAGACAATTTATTGTTTTACAATGTTTTGATTGGCTAAACGAATGAAACCAACAAATTATGACATGTAAAATGACAATTTTGAAATGTAAAATTTAAAAGTGACAAACACAACCTCCCTATCCACTCTTTGGGAGCCCTAGTAAATTAGTAATATGTACATGCAGTAGTGGTAGTGTACAGCTTATTATCACACTACGCTTTGTATTCTAAAGCCTGTTGTTTGTAATAACACTAGTACTGTTCACTCAACGTATGTTTTGTGTGTGGGCAGTCAACGATAATCATTGTTTTATCCCGGTTATATGACCTCGGCAATTATAACAGAACCGTACTAAACGAAAAAACGCAAATAAGAGAAAGCTTTCACACACATATAAAAAATGAACTAGTCTAATCCGCCAGTATAAACTCTGTGCTATACGTAGCCAGGTCGGGCGCACACTTTAAGCTGTACTTAGTCTATATCTCGTATTTTACACTTCAAAAAAATTCTTTACTTAATCCATAACTCAAACGTTAAATTTGGAGAATTTTTTATTTTGACCTACTTTTCGGACACCATATCTCAAAAGTGGGTCAAAATACTTTCGGACGGTAAAAGGCTAACCCTATTACCACATTCTTGGCTACATGTATACAAAATTTCGAAGAAAATAATTAAAGTGTAGAGTCAGAATCGCAAAAATAAGGAAAAACTTTGAATTTGACCTAGATTTTGACCTAGGCCCTGGACTGGATTTAGACCTAGACTTGACTTGGACCTGGACCAACACTGGACTTTGACCTGGACTGGACCTTGACTTGGACCTGGAAATAGACTGGACTGGTACTTTTTCAATTTTTCTCACTTTTCTTGACTCTCTATAAGGGTACCATCAGATCGATTTTTCTGGAACTTTCAAAACGTCATAACTCTTGAACCGGAAGTCGGATTTCAATTCGGTTTTCAGATTCGGAATCCTGAGAAAATTTCCTATAAGGCATATACCCTCGACATTGAATTCGGAGAACTTTTTTTTAGACCTCGTTTTCGGACACTGATATCTGGAAATCGGTTCGATGAATCAAAAAACGGATAGCACATTTATGAAAGGGCTGTTTCTAAGCTACATGAAGAAAAAAAGATGAAGACGTTTCGATAAATAACGAAGAAGATAATAGACAGAATGTTGAAAATGTAAGATTTGACCTAGTTCTTGACCTTTGACCTCGATAAAAATTTGACCCCATTTCCCACCAACTAGACATAGTACCTTAATTAACCATATAATAGTCTTCATTGAATACTTTATAGTTGTTGAGAAATCGTCCACAGTATAATAAGAAAGAAAGAAGAATAATAAAGAATAATGGCAAAAACAATAGACTCCAGATTTTCATCTGGAGTCTAATAATCTGGAAGGATTAAATTTGAAGGCAAAAAGGCATGTAGTTCTAAATTTTACTAAAGCCCCAGAAAATAAGATACTTCAACCAAATGGAGAGACAATATGTGAAGTACATATGTGTATGATCAGAAAATAGCATAGAAACAACAATTAAATCCTTGGACTTCATGCTAAAAGTAGATTTAGAATGAGTTCTCATCGATTAGCAATTGAGACTGGAAGACATACAAGGCAAATGCCAAAACCTATCGAATAAAGATTATGCAATATTTGTAAAGATATTGAGTGTCATTTCAAAAAGATGTGTCATGAACAAAAAACATTGAGAATATGCAAATATTATAAAAAAGCTTTTAAAGTTTACCTAATTTGGATTTACTAAGTGAAAATTTACTTATTTCAAGTAAAAACATAACTTTACAAAGACACATTGAAAAATTCATTTACCATTCATTTTAGAACATATTGTGCGTGCAAAACACTATTATTGTTACCTTTGACATATATTTTTTTAGTTTGGTTTTACTTTTTGTTAGTTTATGTGTTTTGTAGTTTAGATATGTAGTCTACCATAGTTCTGACTTATATAATAATGTTATGGTACTACTCGTATATGTCAATAAGAGTTACACGTATACTGTATATGCCAAATGTTCCATTTAGCAAATTTAGTTCTGTTTTTATTATGTCATATTGATGACATATTGTGTTATAGTCTCTTTTTTGTGATGGCATTCAGTGTCCAGCGGTTTGGTATTTGTAACAAATGGCATGTTGTGACATTTTGCATGTTGCCCATATCTTTCTTGAATGATAAAAAATATTTACCAATATGTCTTTCAACAGTACCATTCTGTGCATTATGTTTTTACAAGCTAAATAGAATCTTTCATTTAGTGGAGTAGGTCCTGGTTGAATGATACAGTGTTTCAATTCAATTTCACATTTTCTAAAAATCTATTTATACTAAATTAATTCAGGAAAAGTTGTTTATTTGTTACATTTATTTTTATGTCACCACCAAAAAGTGTTATGGTCTCTGTTTTTTGGGATGGCGGTTGGTGGTTGGCATATCTGGACAGAAAATGTGATATTTCTTAATCCCAAAGTTGTTGTAAAGCAAAACTGTACAGTCTTTCTTCCATTGAACACTCTATATTCACACAAAAATCACGAAGATTCCTTCATTATTTAAGGAATAAAGACCGAGATTTTATGGTTTATAGCGTGATATATGACCGAAAATTTTATTCTGTTAATTGTTAAAAGACCGAAATCTCATAGCGATTGAAGTCTTTGGCAATGGCCAGAATAAAATTTGAGGTCTTATATTTGACATAAATCATAAAATCGAGGTCTTTGTTACGATTACGATACGATTACGATACATACTCCAATACAGACCAGTAAATCAATTGTTCTAGCTATTGTGACGTCATGTATCATATTAGAATGAGAAAGATATTCCAAAGTTAGTGGGTGTCATTTTTTTGTCTCACCCTGAAGTTATCTTGAAAACACCCCTCACCAGGTATTTAACCTCTTTTCGTAGAATCTTTTATTTGGTGTAGATTTTATTCCAAGCAACCTGAGAAGGTTCAATAAAGTATGCATTAATATCTGTTTATATGCCAGTCAATAATCATTCAAAAATAAATCAAATAAATTTGATTTTATCTTAAAAACTAATATTAGTATTCAGTTATTAATTGGCAAACTAAAATATATAAAGGTTGGTTACGGCTATTAATGGCTCTTATCACATTAGGGGATATATCTCCCAGATCACATTGATTTAAGAATTGATTTGGTTTATTATCCCACCAACCTTTGGATATGTAATGACCCTGGGCACATTTGGCTATAAGGGCTTAGCAGTAACCATTACAGCTGAAACTAGTACTGACTTGCTATCGAGGGTTGGTTTTTCTTTAAATTCATACACAAGTTAAAGGGTATCAAGTTCTACAACTTGTTTATGTTTGGGTGACCATTTATAAGCTTATTTGATAACTAGAGATTTTTCTTGTCCTATGAGAAAATAACATGTCAAATTTTCTTTCCACCTTCCCATTTTTTCTGCATCAAAAAATATTTTAGAATATCATAATGACTCACAAATGTTTCACAGGCGTTTTAGAGTGAAACAATCAAAGTGTGATTGATTATCAAGGGATTCTCTATAATTTCAAGGCATTATAGAACTTACCGGTATCGGGAATCGTATATTAGTAGTGTGAGACACTATTCTATCATTGACCCTCATATGACTTTCGATTAATTTAGTTCTTCCCTCAAAACAGTCTGTGATTTGGTGACTTTGTAAAAATATGAGTGAGATGACGCACGTTTACAGTATTTGAAATCTATGAATCAATGGATATCGAATTATACAAAAGAAGTGTGAATAACCCAGGTTCCATGAAATACAATAATTTGAGAACATTTGAATTGATCATTTACTGTCAAATCAATATATACTTACCTCATTCATGTTGCTGTTGTTTTCTTGGAAATTCTGTTTGTTTACCTAATTTGTACAAGAGTGAATAATTGGTTAGTAATAATGATTAGTTATTATGTCACCATTCTCAAGGTCAAAAGAGATTTGACCTTTAATGACCTCCTCGAGGTCAAAAAGGTCTTTTGTATGTTGCTTCAACTAGGTGGTGACATTTTGTCATATTAATGCCTTCTTTACAAATAGCTAGGTAAGGTGTGTCAAATTCCAGCCAATCAGAAGTAGAACAAAGTATTTCAAATCCTTTAGGATCGAACTATATCCACTTGTCATATATTTTACAGCAGATTCCTCACTCATAAGATTGTTTTATAATCCTTCTTTGGCAAACCAGCATCTGTACAAGATGGAATAATTTTTGATAACTCTTATACCAGTTGTCAGATTTTGTTCAGATTTCATCGGGTGCCTTGTTGGCATAGGAGTCTGCTCAAGAAGGAATGCTGAAATAAAAGGTTAATAATATGGTATTCTGGATATCGAAATCTGAATCAGTCAGCTGAACCTGCATTATGATATTTAACATGTTCAGACTACACTTACATGTAGTTAATAAAACTGAACATAAAACCACTGTAACAATGGATATAAAAAGTTAAAGTTCCATGTATGATTTGATTATATAGATCTTTAGAAAATATGACTTAGTACTGCAAGTCCAATGATTGTGATGCAACATGTTATGCAAGTGGCGCCACCTGTCACCCAGGGGTCTTTCTCATCCCAAACAGCATAGAGACGAATTGGAGCTCCTGACCCATTCTCAATCTTCATGGGCATGGCATACACGACACTCCCTTGTTTGGGAATTTCACCAACATTTGCTGCCATCTCTACACACCACTTATTCTCACCAAGCATCAAGATATGCGCTTCAAAATTCAGTGTTTTTCCAATGTCACAGTTCAGTGTATCAGTCGCAAATCCAACAACATCTCGATTTTTCAACAACCAATCGACCGCCTCACGACTAAACCCTGGCGAGTGAAGAGTTTCAATGGTGTCTCCACCGACATATGCAGTTGCATTTCCCCAGTATTTGTTCCAGCCTGAATTCATCAAAATGACGGCTCCTTTTGGAATTTGTTGCCCAAATTCACTTTCCCAATCTTCAAGGTCTGACACATCCAAAGTGGCATCCTGGATTTGGGAAGCCTTTTCTCTGATGTCTATTACAACTGCTGGACCTGCAACACAGAACCATTTATCCAATGACAGAGTTACATGCACATAACATAAGTATATCAGAAGGTATATCAAACCATCCTAAGGAGGAAATTCAAAGGATATTATGTGCCATTGCCTATTGGCTTGACCTCTTGACTACCCAGAGTGACGAGATTTCACGTAACCTCATAAATAACCTTGAAACCAAGAGTGACGAGATTATCTGTCACAAAATTTTTCATTATGATTTCTTTTATTTGAACAGTTTTCATCCAATTTACACAAAAAGTATTTTATAAAATGTGTAGAAATGGTCTCTGCCATCTAATTTACTAAAATCAACTGTTGTAAATGTACGTGTAGTAAAAATGTCAAAAGCTGGTAAAAATGAAAAGTATACTCTGGTCAAGAAGAAATGCTACATTTCTCAAGAAACTTGATTTTTGTTGTGATAACACAAATACAGTAGCAGCTACCAGATTTGCTAAATTTTAGGCTATGTGACACTAATGTTTTTATTATGGTTATAAGACTATTCTGCATATCTTTTCATCATGTGTGTAGATTTTGCCAAAAGGACACAATACTAGTTTACTATTTCTTGTCATGTACTATTATCTCATGTGATATCCAAAATGATGAGACATTTAATAATAATCATGTTTATTTCGATGGGATTTGCTGCTCCTTGGAGTTCAGTTCTGAAGTCAGTATAATATATATACAGTGTATATATACCTATGTACAGTATTTATGTTGAAGAATAAGATTGATCTGATAACCAATACAACATTTAAAATATTTTGGACATCAAAAGTGTTTTGGATTAATAGATCTTGGTGTGCAACATTATATGATGTAAATGTTATAGTTCATTGATGTAGGTAACTCAGAAGGTACATGTAACTCACCCTTAAGCTGTGAAAATGGTATCTGATGTAGCCTCCAACCTTGAGCAGTGAAATGGTAGGGTGCGTCCATATGGGTCCCCACATGTTCTGATGTCTCAAAGTTATTAGATGCTACACTGAAAATAAAAAAAATATTTTCTCTTATATGGAATTAACATTTATATAGTGTATAGATGGCATTATAATTGTTACTATCCCAATGAAAGAATTTCAGATAGGATGTAATTCAACTCTCTGTCTGTGAATCAGTCTATCCTCATCTGTCCATCTGGATCAATTACAAGTACATGTAACTTTTACTCTAATAGAGCAAGTATTCTTCATATTTATTGGAAAGATGTATAATGGTTAATAATTGAGTTCTTTGCAAAAAATTGTTTCACAATTGCTACAGCTTTAAGAATTTTCAATATGCCCACTCATTTCAGAATGGCCGCCATTTTTTATAAAAAATATGTTTGACAACTCAGATACCAGTTGATGGATTTGATTTAATTTTTTTATGCTGATGCTAGTAGTGTTGTCGCGATGTGCCATAATCGTACATCGATGCATCGGCAATTTTCAGTAGTAAACATCGATGCACATTGCGATGTACATCGAGAAAAAGTCTGAGAAAAGTCCACTGAAATACCGAACAGAACAAATTAACCTCTTGAATCCCAGGCTCTAAAATTGGCATGAAACCAGAGAATTTTTCATTTTTTGCCACCTTTTGACATTTTATTACATACCTATACAACTTTAGATGCTCAGCTTAGTAAAATTGGACGGCAGAGATCATTTCTACACGTTTAAAAACAATTTTTGTGTAAATTGGATGAAAATTGTTCAAATGAGAGCAATTTTTGTGAAAAATTTTGTGACGGATTTTCTCGTCCCTCTGGGCACCAGTCTTATTTCATTTGTGACGGATATATCCGTCACTCTGGGTATTCAAGAGGTTAATAAGAGTACGCTGGTACATCCGGGAACTTCTAGTGACGGTGAAATGAAAGTAAAGTAATTTTTTAGATTAATGGTTTATTTCGACTAGCTAAAACAGTTTAAAAGCGAAAGAATATCAGAAAACATTGGAAAATGAAATAAGACATGAGAAAGGTAAGCGATTTGTGTCAAAATAAGATAAGAAAGGGTGATTTTTAGCAAATTAATTTTTTTTAAAAACATCGATGTTTTGTTTCAGACATCGATGCATCGCCAGAATCAGCTTTGGCAATGTATATTGCGATGTATCGATTAATCGCGACAACACTAGATGCTAGGGACATAGGATTAATGGCTGCTCATTTCAAAATGGCTGCAATTTTATGTAAAAAGTGTTTTCTGATAAATCAAATACCAGTCGATAGATTCAATTCAAATTATGTATGCCCATACACAGGAACCAAATGAGCTCTCCTCATATAAATTTCAAAGATGGCTGCTGAATTTCAAATTGGCTGCTATTTTTCATGAAATATGTAATTTTAAATATCACTTTGAATACCATTTATAGATCAAATTATGGAATTTAGTCCAAATTTAATTGGCTGATATCTTATTGGCAAAGATGCTCTGTTAAGAGAGGCATTTTCAATTTGGGTTCTCATTTCAAAATGGCCAACATGTTTTATAATAGCTTTTCAATAACTTAATACTTACAAAGGCGCTCCAAGGACAGGCCCTAGCAAAGCAATAGTTGAATTGTAGCTTTTGTGTCCAGGCCATTTCATCAAATCTTTATTGACAAGATATGTCATATCTTTGAATGTGCCCTCCACCACACCTATAGTCACCATGGCAATATACAATATCACAATCATCTTCATTTCAAATTATGTACTATTTTAATCGTTGATTGCGATTGTTATTAGATTAATATTCAGTACGTATCCTGACTCAAAATTGCTTGCTTTGTAGTGGTTGCCTGAGAAGTTAGCACTAACCAATATTTGCCTCTGAAGTATATAAACTTAAGTTTCTCAAGGTGACATGCCTGGAATGTTTAAACCGTATTGGCTGATATGTAGTCCACCCAGAGTCTAGTATTCTATTACAAACATAGGCTTTGAAGAGAAGTAAATATACACTTTTTTGCAGATTAGACTTTTAACAAATGCAGGCCTTCCTTTGTTTGACAGTAATCTACATGGACGACATTGCCTCCCTGTCCTCTAATGCCTAGGACTTCTGAAATCATGAAATTCAATGAATGCTATTGGCTAGCTGGAATTTTATCGACCATAACATCGGTACTTTGATTGGTTAAGCCTAGATCAAAGGATTTGTAGATTGTAGACAGGGTCGTTTAGAAAGGGCATTGTAGTTTTTTATTATTGATGCCTAGAGATAAAGGAGCTCTGCTCGAGAAGTTATTTTCAAGATGGCCACTATTTATCAAAATCTCAGCCATTTTTAATTAAAAATGTAATCTTTGATAACTTTGATACCAGTTGACAGATTTGGATCAAATTTGATATGCTGATGCCTAGGGACATAGGAGCTCTGCTCAAGAAGAAATTTTAAAGGTGGCAGCTGAATTTCAAAATGGCCACCATATATCAGATGCTGGCACACTTTTGCCGGAAGTTTGCAAGAAGTAACTTTTGGCAATGCAGTATGTTAGAGTAACCTAGTAGGTGTAAGAAAATATAAGGTGATGGGCTTTAAAGTGGTAAAAACAATTTTCACGGCCGAATTGAACTTCAATTCCTTCGATTTCAGGGGGTACTATAAGACTATTTCATAACATAAAGGGTATAGTTGCTATTGTTCTGTTTTCTACAGCACACATTACTAGTCCAAAGATGAATAATATCCTAAAGTTATAGGCCGATATCTGTATTAGTCTCAGAAATATTGCAATTAATAGGAAAGAAATATGCCATTTTAGTCATTTCTAAGTCTCACCTATTTTATATTTGTAGCTTCCAGCAAAAGATGGCAGTTTAAATAGCTCAAAATTGTTTTCTAAAAACTAATTCAAGCTATGTTTGATATTGTAATACAATTATAATAATGATAATGTACTATTTATGATTTTTAATATGACTTTATAGTACCCTACCCCTGGAAAGGTGGCGTGGTCAATGTTATCATTTTGCAGCATACAGTTAAAAACTTGTATTGATAGAAAGCAAATCAATGCATATTAAACATCTTCACTTGTTAATTGACAATGCAATTCATTCATTACTAAAATAAAGGACTCTACATATTTTATATATACGTTTTCAATTTTGTACAATGTATCATAATGAAATCTAAAAGGCTGTTTCATTTTCAGTCTTCACTAACACATGAAATGTAAGTCACAGTGTTTCCAAATAACCTTGGCAATGAGAAAGTACCACAAAGACTACATAATATGAGCAGATTCAAGGTCCCAATACTAATACTTACCGATCTATCGGTGTTCAAAAATAGAGAAAGCTGTCGTGAGTGCAGTTTTAACTAATTTTGAACTGAAACTGCTACTTAATGAATATTTCTTTAAACATCTGTGACTTTTTTGGACCCCAAACATAAGATACCAAGACATAATGCTACCAAGTTCTGATATTGGAAGTTTCAGAGCTCTAGATCAAATATTCACTTCTGCATGTACTTTTAAAAAGACCCAAAAGGACAAAAACCTGTCAGATATCGCAAAAAATATGAAAGATGCACTATTCAAAACAATTTATCTCTTAAATGTTACTTTTATTTGACATAATTTCTGATTCTGCCTCCAGTTAGTACCACCAATAATACATATGAGAAGACTTAAGTTCATAGTAAGTGGAGTTACAGATCTATTGGCTTCTGAAAATGGGAAAAGTTGTAGCAAGTATGATTTTCACCAGTTTTTCATCTAAGACTGCAACTTTCTGGATTTTCTCTTTACAAACTGCACCGTAAGACCAAAGACATTAAAGGAAACCTGGTTATTGTACCACCAATAATAAGTAAATATAATATTGGTAATAGAGATTTCGCACATACGTGAAAGCCAACTTATAACGTATACTTATACTTATAAGTAAACGTACAAGGTGTTTCATAATGTGGGCTTTTCGTCAGGAAAGATCTTCTCGGACTGTAATAAATAAAGGTCAAAGGGATGCCATTTGTACTTTCTTGAATCGTAGCATGTTTAGTTGATCCAAATGTGTTTGTCTAGAATAAAATAGGCTCATATATAGTACATATGTTATAGACCCATCTCTTCTGAAATTGGCTTTTTGGAGATGCTCGTTATGAAACACCCTGTGTGTCATTTGTTGAGCTACTGAATTGATCATTTCCAGTAATTCCTAGAACCTACTGGTTTGATTGGTGTTTCAAATGGATGGTTAAAGTATTTGATTGGATACTGTTCCTACTCAGCCAATTAATTTTTAAAAATGCTTGCGGTCAATTGTTCCACACACATGTAGGTAAAGCTTTATACGGAGATCCAACTGTATACGTTTATCATCTCGTATATATACTGTTTTGTTAGTTCATTGAACTTGATGAAAACTTCATGAAAACTTTGAAATAATCAACTTGTTTATGTAATGACTCACTTTAAAGGATCATGAGTCACTTTAAAGGATCATGTTTATAATACACTAGAACTACTAGGACACGGAAGCAAGCATCTAATTATAACTTTGCATAATCTACACGTGCAGATGACAGTGAATTCACAGTCTCTAGTTGATGGAGCTTTTCTATATCGGGAATAGTTATGTTCCATTAAGTACAATTTAAAATTGATTTTAGTAAATATAATAGTTCGACATGACCCTTTAAAGTATACGTATACATATAATTTGTCCTTTCACTTATGTGCGAAATCTCTCTAATATATACCAAGTATTTACTTTAATTCCAAGGCATCTGAATTATTGATAAATAAATGAAATCAGTACTTTATTGTATCTTGGGACAAAATACACAGTTTGAATGCTTAAGCTTGACATCACAGTATCAAGTGAAAGATACTTTGTTATATACAGCTATATATCACTTTAACTGACTTTACTCTTCAACTTAAAATATGCCTGGCCATCCTAAGAAAAAAGCAACGGAGGGCAAAGATGTTGCATGGTATAATTGGTATTAAGCTCTTATAGAGTTTAAAGCTCCCACAATTTTTTGAAAACGAAATGGAAAATAACATGTGAAAGTATAGGATGGACTAATTGTTCTTGGAAAGTTTTGGAAAGTAACACTGCATAAAATATTTAGCAAGAGATATGTTCCAAAATACTTTCAGGTAGAAATAAAGCTCTGTAATGTAAAAACAATGTATTCTCAGTATTCAATAATAACATTCTCTGAGTCACTTAATAAATAATAACTAGATGTAACTCGTACTACAAGTTTCAGTTCTAAATAAAATACAGTTTAGTTAAAAAATTGTTAAGAATACATGTACATATTTTTTCATAATTTCACCATTTCTGACTGTATTGTGCATATTTTTAAGTGTCAATTGTTCAATGATTATTTGATATAACCTCCTGAAACTACTCTCATATATATTTGGTGGTACAGTGATATGAAATCTTGTCTTTCGGGGTCTAACGGAATTCTTGTTTTAGAGAAGAAAATCCTGAAAGCTGCAGTTTAATATCATGAATAGTAGGTGAAAATTGCACTTGCTACAGCTTCTCCCATTTTTAGATGCCAATAAATCTGTAACTACACTTACTATGAATTGTTCTGAATAGTGCAATTTATCACATTTTTTTGCGATATCTGACTGCATTTTGTGTCTTTTTAAGAGTCCATGCAGATATGAAAACTTGATCTAGAGCTCTAAAATTTTCAATTCCAGAATTTGGTAGCACTATGTCTTGATATCCTGTGTTTGGAGTCGAACCAAATCACAGATGTTGAGAAAAAAAATTCATATGTAGCAGTTTTAATTCAAAATTAGTTGAAATGGCACTCGGGACAGCTTTCCTCATTTTTTTGAATGCCGATAGATCAGCAAGTATTTACACTATGATCGTGAATCTGCGCATCTATCTCATTGCCCAGGTATTGTGGAAACATTGTGACTTATATTTCATGTGATAGTAAGCACTGAAAATGGACTTGTTGCATTGTGGCGGACCTCATACAAAACAAACATCGGGGTAGAGGGGGAGGGGGGTTAAACGTTGATCAGTTCTGCTATTTTTTGTGGCTATTGGTCATATAGTAGATCATTTTGTCAAAAGGTAAAGGTGATCCGAGAAAAAGTTGGTAAATTGAAACAGCCTATTAGATTTCTATATGATACATTGTGCAAAATTGAAAACGTATATATAAAATATTTAGAGTCTTATATTTTAGTAATAAATGAATTACATTGTCAAGTAACAAGTGAAGATGTTTTAAATGCATTGATTTGCTTGATATCAATACAAGTATTTAATTGTATCCTGCAAAATGATAACATTGACCACGCCCACTTTCCAGGGGTAGGGTACTATAAAGTCATATTAAAAATCATAAATAGTATATTATCAATTATTATAATTGTATTACAATATCAAACAAAGCTTGAATTAGTTTTTAGAAAACAATTTTGAGCTATTTAAGCTGCCATCTTTTGCTGGAAGCTACAAATATAAAATAGGTGAGACTTAGAAATGACTAAAATGGCATATTTTTTTCCTATTAACTGCAATATTTCTGAGACTAATACAGATATCGGCCTATAACTTTAGGATATTATTCATCTTTGGACTAGTAATGTGTGCTGTAGAAAGCAGAACAATAGCAACTATACCCTTAATGTTATGAAATAGTCTTATAGTACCCCCTGAAATCGAAGGAATTGAAGTTCAATTTGGCCGTGAAAATTGTTTTTACCACTTTAAAGCCCATCACCTTATATTTTCTTACACCTACTAGGTTACTCTATCATACTGCATTGCCAAAAGTTACTTCTTGCAAACTTCCGGCAAAAGTGTGCCAGCATCTGATATACCATGTTTCATAAAAAACATAATCTTTGATAACTTAAATACCAGTGGATGGATTTGGTTCAAATTTTTTTGGCCTCTATTTCTCAAAACATGTTTTGTTCGGTGGGATTTGCTACTCCCTGGAGTTGCTGTTTTTCTCG